CAACATAAATTTTGCGAAATACGTCGAAATATTGGCGGAAGGACTCTTGCCACTTTATTCCTCTGGTTTCGTGGACAACAACACAATGTTGTTCCAGGAAGATGGAGCACCGTGTCACACTGCTAGAAACACCAAAACGTGGCAGGAAAAAAATGGTATCCAGAAGTTGCCCTGGCCGAGCCAGTGTGTAAATACTCGACCGGCAAGTCAAGAAACAACAACAACAAAAAAAAACAACTTCGAAGAGCGAACTACTCCAAGTTTTGAAGCAAGAGTGGGCGAAAATCCCACAATCTAAAATTGACCAGATGATTCTCACGATACCCCAAAGGATCAACGAACTCCACGAAGCGAAAGGAAGATCTACTAGATCTTAATTAAAATTATAAATATATCAATTCATGTGAATATGACTGAAAAAATTCATTTTTTTCTGAAAAGGTGGTGTCTATTTACTTGTAACCATATTACTATATTACTTGTATATACTTCATTTTTCACCTATTCCAGTCTGAAGAAATGCTATGGTTTCAAGAGTTGGAATTTAGAAAGTGAGAACCAGTTATATGACTTCTTTTATAAAACATGGTGCATATGTGTATTTATCAAATCAGTCTTCCAACAGTGTTATATATTATATTATATAAGTACATGAATATATGATTAACAAATACTGTTTATACTTTGACCGGTACAAATTTGTGGCTGTCTTAGCACTACATTGTGATGGTTATAAGTTTGTGGCTGTCTTAGCACTACATTGTGATGGTTATAAGTTTGTGGCTGTCTTAGCACTACATTGTGATGGTTATAAGTTTGTGGCTGTCTTAGCACTACATTGTGATGGTTATAAGTTTGTGGCTGTCTTAGCGCTTCATAAACACCATTTAAAACAAAAAAAAAAAAATCTTTTTTTTCTAGAATGTCTAATTTGTATTAGGAAGGTATATTTGTTTATCCTAAATAGCTTTAAACTTGTAATAGTTATACATTTGTTTCTACTTAAATTTTATTTTATTGCCCTTTGCACTGTGTCTAACTAATAATCCTGCCACACAAGTTGTAACTCACATGGCAAATGTTGCAGCTCGTATTACCCTATCGAATTTACATAATGCATGAGCATACCTTATGGAAAAATATTTAATATTCTTTATCTTACCTTCTCTAATGTAACATGTTTCTGATTTTTACATTTTAGTTACGTTTATAATAATAAATAAAGAATACATACAAAAAATAAAAATACAGCACTTTTTTTATTGTCATTGACTATTGATGAAACTTAACCCTACTTTTTTATACTTATGGTACTACTGCACTAAATTTTATATTTAATTAAACACTGCACTTAAGAACACAGAATATTAACATGTAAAAAGCAGACAATATTTTATAACTATCATAATTTTTCTGGATTTCTAACTATGTGATAAGAGGCATTAAAATATTAAGCGAATTTTATTGATGCTTTTCCCATGGGAATAAAGTTTGAAGTGAAAGCAAAATAGATATTTCTATGTACAGAAAACATCGTAATATAATATGTCACTTAGTAGATTAAAATATGGATTTTTATTGATTATAAATAATGTAGTGTTAAATGTCAGAGTGAAATATTGACAATTTGTGAAAGAAAGGATGTGACGGGTGGGTGTGGCAAGTGTGTCCGATTTTCTAGTGGCAATTTGTGAAAGACAGGATATGACAGGTGGGTGTGGTAAGTGTGTCTGAAATTCTAGTTTATGGCTTCATAAACAAATGATTGAAAGCTATAAAAATTATGCTTTGCCTGAGTAATAACAATATCATAATGAGTAATTTGTTATATCTATACTTCTTGAAGAGGTGGTAATTAAATTAGAGAAGAGGGGAGACCTAGAGAGCAACTGAGGAATTTTTCAAATATTTCCCTATAAAAATAAGAACTTAAAAGTTGTATAGTATTAAAATTTGATTTATTATATATTTTTTGATGCCAAGTTTATTCCTATACTATGATAATAAAGTAGTTTAATTAAATTTTCAAAGTAACTTTCTAAAAAGGTGCAACATGCACATTTTAACCTGCCTGTAGCTAGTGTTACTCCCCCTTACTCTACAATATCAGAGGAGTCACATTTGAGACATTTTAACAAATGTTAGTTTAAACCAGCTACTTTCCACTAGCACAGCCAGAAACTCAGTGTTCATAAAAATACAAATAAATAAATAAAAATTACCTCAACCGACCATGATAATGTAATAAGAAGAGAACAACATTCTCAACTTAATATGTAGTTTGTCTAAAGATGTTTACCACCAGTCTTACTTCACTATCCCCTATAATGTTTACTACCAGTCTTACTTCACTATCCCCTATACTACACATAGTTGGATACAGAAAATAAGGAAAATGTTTACCACCAGTCTTACTTCACTATCCCCTATACTACACATAGTTAGATACAGAAAATAAGGAAAATGTTTACCACCAGTCTTACTTCACTATCCCCTATACTACACATAGTTAGATACAGAAAATAAGGAAAATGTTTACTACCAGTCTTACTTCACTATCCCCTATACTACACATAGTTAGATACAGAAAATAAGGAAAATGTTTACCACCAGTCTTACTTCACTAGCCCTATAATGTTTACCACCAGTCTTACTTCACTAGCCCCTATAATGTTTACCACTAGTCTTACTTCACTATCCCCTATACTACACATAGTTGGATACAGAAAATAAGGAAAATGTTTTTAAGGTTAAAAATTAGGTTTTAATGTTACATTACTGCTGTGTAAAATAAACTTCAAAAGTAGTAAAGTAACTGAACTGTGCTTCTGTCAGTAATCACCATGTGATTACAGTTTCTGATATTGCGGGCAGCACAGGATACATCAGGTTGTCAAGTACTTTGCTTTGGTAGATTTTCATTTATTTTCTATACAAGAAGATTTAATTTGTTGAAAATTGTTAACACCCTTACTCTGCAGTTTTGTTCCTCAAAGGAAACAATTTTCTAAGCTGAAAATGTTAAAACTTGTTAATCATGATCTACATGATTTGCAAGTAGGTTATGTAAATCTTATGGAAGTTCTTTACAAAAGTGAAACTCGTGGATGAAATTGTTTGAAATTTGACACGAACTTTCATAAAAGTATGTAGCTTCAAAAAATAAAATATTTAATTTTTATTTATTTCTGTTATTTAATAAATTTGTTATTTAATATAATTATTTTCACTTGCACTCTGAATAGTTCACATACAAAATGAGTTTCATGTTGAGTATAAAAATACTATTTATTATCTTAGTTTCACATTTCATCTGCATTATCTCTAGAACTTCCAAAATGAATATCAAAAGTTTTTGTAAGGTAAATGTTTATATTTTATTTTCCATTTTCTCTACCATATCACTAACTGTAGCTATTATCATCAATGTACAGTGCATTGAAATGTTTAAAATTAAGAAATGGAAATATGTACTTCATAGAATCGTCTTAAAATATATTTTTGGATCATGTGCATAATTTCATGTCTTTACCATTTCACTTAGTTTATTTTTAATGTTTTATTTTTCTTTCCAATTCTTTGTCTTTTATTATTTGTGTCGATAAGTCAACTGGTGCCCGTGGGCCATTATAAAGTTATGTTCGGCAGACTGGGCAGAGATGTATTTGCAAAATTGGGCTTACACATACCAATTTTATAAGCATTCATGAATGAGTCAACCATATGTAAAACTAAAAAAATCATTAAACTCTTTCAAATATAAATTTTATAACATAAATACTGCATAATTAACTAAAGTATAAAAGTAAAACCTAAATATGATTTAACTATCTATCAGTCTCATATGTATAAGGCGAGAAAATATGGCCAAGCACTAGAGACACCTCTATAGACAATGGACTTCTTTACTACTTCACTGCTAACATTTCTTGGCCTAGTTCCAACAAATAGCTTGAAATTTGTTCTTTCAATTGTTTATAAGCATGACATTCAATTTAAAACTGTTGTTAAGCAAAACATCTTTTACTTTGAAAGTGAGAGTGACTTATCATTGACTCTGAAATTTTTACAAAGGATTTGTCTGAATAGTTTTTGGAATGTACTCAAACTACTTCTCAAGAACCTCTGTGTGTTGTACTTTGATTGTCAGAAGGAAGACAGTCTACATTCTTGTGTGTTGTACTTTGACTGTCAGAAGGAAGGCAGTCTACATTCTTGTGTGTTGTACTTTGACTGTCAGAAGGAAGGCAGTCTACATTCTTGTGTGTTGTACTTTGACTGTCAGAAGGAAGGCAGTCTACATTCTTGTGTGTTGTACTTTGACTGTCAGAAGGAAGGCAGTCTACATTCTCGTGTGTTGTACTTTGACTGTCAGAAGGAAGGCAGTCTACATTCTTGTGTGTTGTACTTTGACTGTCAGAAGGAAGGCAGTCTATATTCTCACACACATTTCTCCTATATCAGCTCTAAAATTGATATTTTTAACTGAGGTCACGATATGTTCTGAAGTTTTAATTATTGTTTTAGAAGTTTCTTTTGAAATAAAAGAATAAAAAATTGTATAATATAAAACTTTGAATTATAACGTATTTGATAATAATAATTTCATTAAAATTATAGTAAAATGGTTTAATTAAATTTTGAATGTAACTCAGTAACATGAAAGGGGTTTAAAAATGGCATCATTGTCATAGGGTTAATGCCCTTATTTCAGTGTTATTTTTTCAGTTCCATATTTTGACAAATACTTCTTTGTATAATATGGGTCTTGTATTGCAATCTGCTAAATGGGAATATCCCATTACTGTCAACCGACTAAGGCTAATGACTGCTGATTTTGCTAAAAATTGTTGTATTCTTCATGTTGTGACATGGGGTTTTCAATCTGGTAATTCACCACATCCAATATCATCAAATTGGCTAGGCTATTGAATGCAGATTTTGCTCAAAATTGTTATTTCTGTGGTTGTAGGACAGAGTTTAAAGATATTTTGTATACTTTCATTTTTTTTCTAGTGGGATTGGAGCTGCCAGTGTTCAGATGTATTTTGATCTCTTGACTCTACTATATGCTGTTGAACGGCAGTCACAAAAACAGTGTGGTAAGTTGTATTCTGTTGAATGTCAGCCACAAAAATGACATGGTAAGTTGTATTCTGTTGAATGTCGGCCACAAAAATGACATGGTAAGTTGTATTCTGTTGAATGTCAGCCACAAAAATGACATGGTAAGTTGTATTCTGTTGAATGTCAGCCACAAAAATGACTTGGTAAGTTGTATTCTGTTGAATATCAGCCACAAAAATGACTTGGTAAGTTGTATTCTGTTGAATGTCAGCCACAAAAATGGCATGGTAAGTCTCCTACTGGAAATTCATAATTTTTCAATTTATTTTATTTTAAGATATTTTGTGTTAGTAAGACATGTTTTTTCCCTTGTTTTTATAATCACTTTTTTAAAATTAAAACTAAGAGACCCCTGTTGCTTGAGTTTTGCAGACAGTAAGTGCCTGCAAACTGAAGAATAGTTTGTTTTAGTATTCCTGCTTGTACTATACAACCATGTAGTACAACATCTGTTAACCCTTCTAATATGAGTGGGTGGATTTAACATTACTTGCTCGTGCATTTTATTTCAGAATGTTGACTGTCCATCATGCAGAGTAGTTTTGATTTAAAAAACTTTTATGCATCAGAAAATTCCCATAACCTCCTAATATCCTCCAGATAATTATCAAACTTTTTTTTAGAAAACAAACTTTATTTTATCTATTATTTACACTATTGTATCTTTGTATGTGTTTGGTCAATTCTACACAAAACCACAAATGTTCAATCTAAATAACTTAAATCTTGTAACATTTTACATGTTTAAAAAAATTCATTATTTTCATTTTATTGGATTTTCATCAGTGTATGACTAACGTTACAAAAGTTGAATGATGTGGAGCACATGCACTGATGTTACTGTATCCAATAATATGAAACTAGCCTTTACAAAGTGATCTATCTTGGATGTGTTTGAGTGGACCAGTATTTTGTAAAATACAGTCATATTTCAGTTTTAATACATTATATAGGAATATAAATTATTCTTATTTACAAATAAGTTCTTAAATTTCAGTTATTTTTCTTAAAACATAGAACAGAAAATAAATAATTATAGACAACATTTATCTCTTCTAGTTACGAACTTTGTACCAATTTGTGTCTTGGTGTAAGTTGCTAAGCCTTATCAAATTTTGCATGTGGAGGATGTAAAAACAAATAAATTTTTTTTAGGTATTATATATACATTTTGAAATAACAAAAAAAATCATAAATTACTATATAAATACCACAAAATTTCAATATAATTTATCAGGCTTTGTAGCTAAGCTGAATTTGGGTCTAAAAAAAAAAGATTTTTTTGAGCTCAATAATGTCTTATCTTACTACTTGGAATCTGCCATGTAAAGAAAGGGTTTTCCTTGTAAATACTTTGCAAAGGCTAGGAGAACTACGTGGGAGGACATTCTGAGCTTCTAATTGGTTGTTCACACATCATAGATAGAAGTAGGTATACATAAGCATTTCCAAAAATGGAAAGAGGTGGGTGGGGCCACTGTGTTTGATTCACTAAATCTATCAAGATATCAGCAAATAAAAAAGATAGGAGATTCTTATTTTATATTCTAGTTTGCCCGTGTCTGTAATTTGAGTTCCTAATTTGTAAGAAACTATAGTGTTGTATTTGGACATCATAAACATCTAATCTGAACCAATACTGCATTCAACATACCATGTGACACACAGAAATCAATATTTAGGATTTTTTCAATATTTACTTTTATATTAAGAAAGCAACTGATGTATAATACTAAAATTTAAATTATAATCTACAATTTGATACCAAACTTATTGATATACCTTCATAAAATAGTAGTTCAATGAAATTTTGAATGTAAGTCTACAAACGTGATGACATGGCCTTTGAACCTTGACCATAGGAAAACCCATCTTGGTAGGGTTAACTATATCAAATACATGATTAAAGGATGTTACTTCACATTTAAAGTTTTAATACCAAACTATAAAGTGCGATGGTGAACGTTTAGTTGAGCCATTATAAAACGTGTAACCAAGTTTTGAAAGTGTAATTTCAGTAAGATTGTCAATGTTTGTTGAAATGTAACTGTTATATTCATTATTTTATAATTTATATTTATTGAACATAAAAAAAAAAAATCAGTATATTCAATTGAACACTTATTTCTTGTACCAAAAAAATATTGATGTAATTATAATATTAACATATATTTGACACTAGTACATATGTAACAGTTAAATAATACCAATGGAATTGCATGACAGTAAACATACCACAAAATATGAACTTCATGATACTAAACAAGAAGAAACAGGAATTCAGCATGATGACAGTGGTACGTATTTAACACAAAGGATACCAAGATAGTCACTTGATATCTTTGATACTATTATCAAATCTTCACTATATAAGAAGATTCTAAAACTTGTATATTAAAGTTAAGTACTTTGCTTTAGGAATGTCTTTGTTTATTTGTTTTAGTCAGAAAAAGTGACGTACCTCTTAATATGATACTTCTGTTGGTTAAGCCTAACTCTGATGTACATACCCTAGTATGTCCAGCGTTGGGTGTTAGTATTTTACTACCCAAACAAAATAACATATTATTTGACAGTTTTACTCAGGAAAGATGAATCTCTTGATAACAGACTTTTACTAGTTACAAAAAATAGTTTGTGTTTTTAAGAAATACTTTAAAACCCTGCCAAGTTTTGAAAAATTTCTAATTCAGAAGTAAAAGTAGATGTACTTGTGTGTGTGTACGAGTATGAATATCTCATTATCTAAAACCTCAATCTTGATAAAAGTTAGCACAAAGGATCACTTATAAAGTGTAATAAACTTAAAATAAAACCCAAAACTCGAGCGCTTTCAAATAGTTGACTATTCTTCAGGAGAACGAAGAAGAAACTATTCGAAAGGACTCGAGTTTTGGGTCTTATTTTAAGTTTATTATTTAAAATAACTTCATGTAGGTCTAATATAAAATTCTTTGTTTTTTTCAGGTCCACAGATGGGATGTGTTCAATCCCTGAGAGAATGCCAATGTGTAGTCTTTCAAGCAGCTTTAGACTTTGTTTACATTTACACCAATGTTCTGTCTGATCATGCATCTGATGAAAAAGCAGTAAATAAAACTGGTAAAAACAGTAAAGTTTGTAAGATTAATATGCATTTTGAGCATGTTCAGTAATAAATGGGAAAGTAATAATAATAGCTAAAATAAAGAATTTTGTTCATACAGTAAGTTCTTATTATATCAGAGGTTTCATTAAGTAGGAAAAAATGATGTTTCACATCTTTTATAACTTATCTCAAAAGGTTTGGAGGCATTTGGAATATTGGGAAGATCACTTTTATCCTTAATACAAATAAGTTTTATCTTGACAAATCTATCATTTGATTTAAATTTATGCTTGGCAATCTTGTTCTGTTATTTGTAAGAGGTAATGCTAGTTCACCATTTTGGGATTTTTTTGCATTAACACCTAGTAAAGAATTGGGTTTAACTGTTCCTTTTCAGCAGAGACCAAACGTTATTTTTATTGATATTATAATTGAACATAGTCTTGTTAGTTTCAGTAAATGATAAGATACACAGAATCCCAGCTCTAATCAGTCAGGTGTGACATCATTCATTGTTCAACTGGAAGTAAAGGATTAGTGATCATATTATCCAATCATCCTTCAATATTTGTTGGCTATCCTGTTGTAGATATAAATTACACAAATCCAAAGTCACAACTGGAATTATTTCACCCCGAGAAACTCTGGTATGATAAAAACGAGCATTTATGTGAAATAGTTTTAATAAATAGTACTTGACCTTTCTGTAACATTGAAAACATTTCAATAAGTGATTTGGATTCTTTTTTGTAAACTTAATGAAATCCTCTGTTGTGTATGGTTTCGCTCTCTTCCTAAATATTGGATAACAAGTTGTTTCTTCAAACAGTTAAGAGTATGAAAGAAACTTGCTCTAAGCATTTTGTTAAATGTAGTTGAAAAATTTGAAAATTGTAATAATTTTCATTACTTGGTAACAATTTAAAGATTTATGTTTGTATTTATGTATTGCTGACATTCAGACTTTTCAGCAATGGTGGGTTTATTATTTTGTCACCACCCTAAAAGACCGTTAACAAGTTTTCACACCCCTTTTATGATTTACAGCACTCAGTCACATTGTAACATCAGTTGGTAACAAAAAAGATTTGTTTAAAATGTACTGACTAGCGAACACAAAGTTAAACACATGTACACTTTTCCAGATATTACTGAATAGTTGCTAGATTTCATGTTTTATTTTAACCATATACACTCTGTGTAAGTTTGAACTAATCCACAAAGATAAAACATAGTCATCAAGTCAATATAAGGTATAATACTCAAAGTTTGCATTTCAAGTGATTATAATAAATAACAGTGACTTGTAACCAGCTGATAACTGTGTAGTTTATTTCTTTTATATGTTCTAAAACACAAAGTGTACTCACTTTTTTTTCTGATGTGGCTTTACACAATTCAGCTTGGAAGAAGACCCCCCCCCAATGTAACATTTTAAAGTATATGTTTTTTTTTTAGTTGATCTGAAAATAACACTTAACAGAACAACATTTTCCAGTAACTAGTGTGTTTTTATCTGAAGACCTTGTATCATTTATGTGTGAACCAGTAGATACTAATCTGCAACAGGTTGTTCCGTTTTTCTAAAAGGGCATCTCGTGGAGATTCGTGGGCTGAATAACATGCTAGAGTGGGGCGTTAGTTACATCATGTACTGGGTTAATTTTCTGTTCTGTGAAGGTAGCTTGATGTGGTCAGGAATTATTGATAATTAAAAAAAAAAACGAAAAAGATGCTTATGCCCAGAAAAAACTTTTAGCCTGTTTTTGTGGTGAGTTATTAGTTTTATAATTCACATTGACAGTACGAGTTATTAGTATTTTTTATAGTGTTTAAATTTGTTGTGATTTTTATTACAGGAAGTGGAGCAGCTGAAACATTTTTTAATTTAATGACCATTTTACCGGAAAGTTTGAACCCTTATTCCATACGAACACCGGGTCAGATAGACTTTCCTGTACCAGTTTTACCATCATTGTCCCTGAGCGTCCAGGATACTAATTGCTCTAAAATGTCGTTTACGGATAACAGGCGGTTTTCTTTAGGTGGTGCATCTCCTCCAAGTAAACGAAAATCTACAACAGGGAAGGAGCTCAGTGTTACAGAAGTTGTTGACCGTTTTCGTAGGATATTGGTCAGAGCATCAGATTTTGTGATTTATAGAGGTGAGAAGTAGTAAAATAAATTTAAAAAATATTAAACTTATTGTAATATACAGTATAATTGACACTGGTATATGGCAGATTTTTTTTTATCATTTCTATGTACCACTTTTAAATTTTAAGAAAATGCAGAAAGCTTACTGTTGTTTTTAGACTTATCCAAAGGTAGAAAGTTTCATTTGCATAAAAACACTTAGATATTTTCTGAATTGAAAAGTTTAGGAAGAATAATTAATAGATATATGAAAAAGAAAATGTATATTTTCCATTTACAGCCTTTTACTTCTTTGAATACATCATGTTATATAAAGTTCTTTAAATGGAAATATTTCATATTTCTTGAACACAAGAATTGCAGCTGTGCATTTACTTTGTGATTTAGAATTGTACAGTTACTAAATTAGAAGTTTTATTTTAATAGAATGGGGAGAATAATTGGCTTCTTATAAACAAACTAAAACCTGAACAAGGATAATCTGGAACCCAGAGTGTTTCATGCACAGTGTCGAATTTCACACAAATTGTATCATACAGGTATATTCATGCATGGCAACTGTGATTCATGTGCTTGAAAAAGTAAAGAAATAAGCACATGTTTTAGTGTTCTAACGCTGTTACTGACTAGTGATATCAAACATTTATATTTTGAGACAGGTGTTGGGTACGTGTGTGTAGTAAAGAACCATGTAAACAGTAGCTGAGCTCATGGATGTCATGGACAGGTGTTAGGTACATGTATGTAGCAAAGAACCATGTAAACAGTAGCTGAGCTCATGGATATCATGGACAGGTGTTAGGTACATGTATGTAGTAAAGAACCATGTAAACAGTAGCTCAGCTCATAGATGTCAGGGACGGGTGTTAGGTACATGTGTGTAGTAAAAAACCATGTAAACAGTAGCTGAGCTCATGGATATCATGGACAGGTGTTAGGTACATGTATGTAGTAAAGAACCATGTAAACAGTAGCTCAGCTCATAGTTTACATGGTTCTTTACTGCATACATGTACCTAACACCTGTCCATGACATCCATGAGCTCAACTACTGTTTACATGGTTTTTTACTACACACATGTACCTAACACCCGTCCATGACATTTGACCCATCTGTACACAGAAGGTTAAAACAACTGTTTATGATCACTATGTAATAATCATTAATCCTAGTAGGCATTCTTTGGTTTAACAAGTAGGTGGATTACTGTTCATCTTTTAAACTAGCTACAGCTAACAGCTCATGTCAGATATAGACAAGCTGTTTGACAATTTGATTAAAGTTGTGTTTACTATGATTGTGAACTGTGTAGTGATGAAGTTGAGACTGATCAGATGTTATCACTTAACAGGTCACCTGTTTGACAGCTCACCCACACATCAATCTGATAGCACTCTCACTTCATCATTAGTTGTGTGACCAAGATCTTTGTGCAGACAGGAAACCACATGACATCCATGTACTCAGCTACTGTTTACATGTTTCTTTACTATATACATGTACCTAACACCTGTCCATGACATCCATGTACTCAGCTACTGTTCACATGTTTCTTTACTACATACATGTACCTAACACCTGTCCATGACATCCATGAGCTCAGCTACTGATATGCAATATGATACATTCAAACATTGTAATAACAGACAGAGCAAGTAAGAAGTTTGATGATATCACAGCTTCTCTTCACATTTCTTTCAAGATCCTTTAGCTCTTTGTTTGGTCAAATATAAAAGTTAATAATTTTTTCATTGATTGTTTAAGATTATGATCAAGAGTTATTCTATATCATATTTTTATTACATTGGTAATTGAACTGGTTGTAAGTGTCAGTTTTGTTTTCTTTAATAACTTGTTTTGTATTTTGTTTTGTTTTGAAAACTGATAGTGATATTTTTAAGTGTATGAATTTTAACCTATAAATCCATAATAAGTTACTCAACTTTCATAGAAGTACAATCATATGTTTGTTGTCTTTTCTACATGGGGTACATCTTCACTTTTCTTTTTTTACATTTTGTCTATTTTAATAAAGATGCAGACATAGCTTTGTCTCCAAAAGAAAAGTCATTTACAAGAGGACTGTTGCAGTGTACCATTCAAGGGGTTGTTACTGTTCTGGTAAGTTTTCATTGGTTTTATAGTTTAACCATGACTTAGAACCATGTCTGTACTAATATAGAAAGTGAATATTGCTTCACAGGTAATAAAATCCTGATCTACTACGTATAAGAATTAATAGTACAAAACCATGACATGTTTGTGAACCATGCTGTATTGTTTTTGTGATTTTAATAGAATACCAAAGAATAATTTTGCAGGAAACTGATAATACAATATAATTTGTTGTTGTATTTACATAAACTGTGATGATACTAAACAAGGAAAAACATTTAATAGTAGAAGCTTTGGTAAATACAATATAATTTGTCGTCGTATTTGGATAAACTGTGATAATACTAAACCAGGAAAAACATTTAATAGTAGAAGCTTTGGTAAATATAATATAATTTGTCGTCGTATTTGGATAAACTGTGATAATACTAAACCAGGAAAAACATTTAATAGTAGAAGCTTGGGTAAATACAATATAATTTGTCGTTGTATTTACATAAACTGTGATGATACTAAACAAGG